TCTGATCATCTTTGTTGTGTTTTCTTTTACCCTCATTAAAATATTAAAAAATTGTTCAAAAAACAAAAATGCACGTGATGGTTCAAACTTAATTCTCATTAGTCTCCCTAGCACTTTATAAGCCACCCAGTAAAACATATAAAGGACTTCACATTAGGGAAAGACAATAGTGAAGTGGATGGTGCTCTACAATGCATTCTGCAAAACAACAATAACCATATATATATAACTATAAAACTATATATATATATAGCCTCAGCCCAAACAAAATGTTTAAATCAATGGGCTACAATTTAGGAAGTCTCTTAGCATTTCAGATAAAAATTGTTGATGAGAAAAAACTATCTTAATTGAAAGTATTACCAGCTGTGTCTAAAATTTGATCAGAATGACATATGTAGGCTTATCCCTGGGCATAGAGTCATGAAGACATTATAAGAAACACAACTTTATCTTATTATATATTATGGAATGAATCTGGAATTCCTCCCAAACATAATAATCACATTAATTTTAGAGATATTTATATATATACTGTTATTTTTGCATTACTTAAATATGTTATACCAACATTTTACCATTATGCTGTATTTTTCAGGCATAGATCTGAGTGTAGAGTCCAACACATTGTGTGGAATATAGTATGAGCAGCATATATTTGTTGAATGCACAAATACAAAACCAAGTATGCTGAAGTTTAACACAAACATGACATAATTCACATAAAGATTTATGAATAAGGTGATTCTGGACAGAAGAAAAACTCAGACAAACTAATGACAATACAAATCAGAGGCATTTATTTTTCTAAAAATATTATTGTTTAACATTTAACAATTCACATGGTATATATTTACATTTACATTGTTTTACATAATATCTACTCTAGTTGTTCCTTACATATTTTACATATCAGATTTCAAAACACAGCCATGTCCAGTGGTGCATATTTTCATCTTACATGGATCAATAGAGATAATCCTCTGTTGCAAAACGTAACATATGTGTGACACTAACTTAGCCACTAAAGAGAGTGTGAGGGCAGATAAACCTCATCACTGTAAAACAGAAATATTTAGAAAATAATTTATTATTTCTCATCAAAAAGAAAGGACTGATGATTGGAAAACATGATGATAACACTGCACTAATTGCCTCTAAAGCAGGAATTTTCTCATGTATAGACAAAGAGTAAAAAGTGAAAAAGTTATTTGAGCAATAGAAAAAAGCAAAGCAACACACCACCAAAACAATGTTTTGTGTTGCTCTGATTTCTGCAGGTGTCTGGGAGGAGCATCTATGGACATATTTGGCTATCCTGTGGTGTCGGTATAGGAGACTCACCATGTAGAGGCTGGTGCAGAGCATGAGGGTCAAGAACACAAGATCTTGGGCTAATATGACAATTATATATAACCATGAATCCATGGTTTTCATCTGTCCAGTTTGACAATATGCGTGAAAATACCCAGGACCAACAAGAGAAAAATTTCCAATTGCTCTTACATGCGGAATAACATTGATATAAATAAGCAAGTTGTTGATCCAGAAGATAAGCAAAGAAGGCATAATCATTGCAGAGAGTTTAGGCTTCAACCGTGCCCACTTAGAATTAACAGAGCTGATAGTGATGGCTTGAAATGTACTCATAAGTGAGGTAGTACAGATGGAAACACCACGGGTAACTCTATATGCATACAAAATTACTTTGCATCCAGTATCATCCAAAAAGTGTCTTATTCCAAAGGATATCATGATATATGGTATAAGTGTGACTATGATAGTCAAATTATTCACCACTGTCAGGTGAACCATAATGAAGTCTATAGGTCTCATAAGATGAAGTTGAGATAATAAGGTATGCATCAATGCCATAAACACTGAGGAGTTTGAAAGGACACCAAAACAAACCTGTGATATGAGGAAAAAGCCAAAATATACTGCACTGGGAAACATTTTATAAATGATATTTTGATAGTTGAATTACATTAGCCAACCTAAATTGAAAAAAAAAACATTTCATGAATTTTGTAAAAAAGTTCTGCTTCTACAAAATAAAGAAATAATAAGAACCAAGGGAGTAGGGTTCATGCACATAGGAGAGGAATTAGTGGACATGGATGTAGGAAAGAAGGGAGGATGAAAACAAAATTGATAAAGGATGTTCCAACGTCCAAAGAAGAAAGTAATTGTTATATACTGAAAAAATATAAGAAAAATACAGAATTTCAAAATGATGTCTATGGGGTATTACATACAAAAATAGTTCAGGATTTGAGGAGATAATGGTATATCCAACTTCCCAAGCAGATGTGGCTCCATCAGTAACTGGATTCCATGGGATTCTTCAGAATCTTACAGTGCAGAACTAGGTATTGTGAACAGAGAGAAAAAAATGGACACACCCTCCATTCTACAAAACTAAAAGCAGGGCCTGATGGCCATGAGAAAGGCAAATTTGCCTTTTTTGAGGTATTTCTCTTCACAGTGTTGAAATGTATTTCATCTGTAACCCATTTTAAAATACTAAGCTCTCTAAAGATAATTTTTTTCTGACATATCAAAAGTAAACATTTGACTTTGTTTTCAATTTTGATTGATACCCAATGCTTCAGTAATCATTAAGTACTCAGTAATCATTAAGTACTTTCTAAAATGAAGTTCACCAGCAGATATTGCTACCCACTCTCCTAACCCAAAGGAAGACCAGAAATGGTTTGAGACATATTTGTTTCTTACAATTTGTGACAAAATTATTGATATGCACTGGATAGAGCTAAAAAGCCCAGAGTAAAATATTCCAGTGTGATAAATATTCCACAAGGCAATTGATATAAAATAATTGACACTCACAACATGGATGATAAACTAAAACTAACAACTATTTTGACACCAAAAGTTGATTCACTTTTTGTCTGAACATTACATTGTGCTCTTGGTACAAAGAGATCAATTAGATTTTTAAATATAATCAGAAAGCAAAAAATAAATGTTATAATAATGTTGACACTGAAAATTCTAAGGTCAAAATTTCAACTCACCAATGGATTCTGAATTAATTTTCTTCTGTATCATCCTTCCATAGAACAGGTCTTTCTTGTGCATGCAATATCATCTTCAATCCCTTTTGTGATTTGGGGAAATTCTATGTTTCCTTCCTACTCAACAAGGTCAAGAAAGTCTTCTAAAATAACTACACAGTATTTTCTGTGATTCACAACTTCATGCTTTCATTTCCAAACATACTGTAGAATAAATATATCCATGTTATGTAGTGACATGTATATATACATTGAAATAATTTCCTGAACTCGGTGATGTAAATGTGTGATTTCTGTACAATGTCATTTGTTCCTTGCACAAAATTTGTAACTTGGTATTAGCAGTAATATTCCTGGAAGTTTTGGTACCTATGTGACAGATGCATTTTTTTTCAGTTTTAAAGCACATTTCCTCTTTTTAATGTGATTTTATTGTTTCAGGTTGACATTCATGGTTGCTCAGGTTTTGCTAAGAGGTGGCTTTGCATCATCTTCCTGTAGTCAGGATTACATACCCAGGTATCTCCACTCCTTTTTTCCAATGTGTGTCCTCAAGAAACAGAGTTCTTTCACCATTAGTTTTGGAAAGTAGGTTACTGAATTTGACTAGAAAGTGAAGAATGAACAATGTGTGACCTTTTAGGGACTTGAAGGTAGGAAGTGACTGAGTAGCAGGACATGAAGATCCTTGTACCTGGAGGCAAAGTAAAGGATAAAAGTGCTAAATTCACAAGAGTAGGCAGCAGACACAAATACCACCACACCTGGTATCCTCAGAATATATGTGGGCTTGATAAATAATTAAGAGGAAACAAAATATCAGCAAAAAGAAAATCCACACTTTTGCAGAAGTAGAAATCTTTGGACTGTTAATGATTTTGCTTTTGCAAAAAGGTTTTGAATGTGCCAGGATTGCCTGGCAGGAAAAATTGTTTTTATAGCCACAACTGCTATGGTCATGTCAAGCTTTACACTGTATGTACTCACCTGCACTTACAAACTAATTAGTATAGTGAAAGCATGTTTTCAATCCTATAGGTGTAACTAACCCTAGAGAACACAAACAAAACAGAAAAGTTGACTCTACAAAATGAACAATAGATTCTATCATTGTGTCTTTGAGTTGTTCATTCATCTTACGGTATCTTCATACATTGTAGTTTACATACTGTTGTATGAAATTTGTCCTAATTACATGATATTTAAAGTACTTGTTAAGTATCTAATAGGAAAATAGATAATGTCGTAACTGTAAGATATAAGCTGTTTGAGGGAGAGTGAGAAGTTACAGAAAGAATTAGAATAATAGCAAGAAAAATGTATGTTCATGGAAAAGGGACGATTTGGCTTTTTATAATACATCAGTCTCATTTTTTACACATTCTAGATACAGCTAATAATCAGAAGCCATGTGTATGTGAATACAATAGATGGATGGATATAAATTTTTTATTTTTATACAGTAGTAAAGTGCTGTGCATGAGGAAAGATAAACATGAGTCATTATAAGACATTAATGCACCTTGGGACCACAAAGTTAAGTGAAATAACAAAAAAAACCTTAAATACTGCTTCATTTATTCACAAGAAGCTCAGAGTATAAAAAAGAGAAAAATAAAATAAGATAAAGGAAGAAGGCATCTGGATTTTTCTCAAAGGCAAAGGGGTTTAAGATATTAGGGGAGGTCCAGGATTTAGCTCAGCAGTGTAAGAACCTGCCTGGCAACTGCAGGATCATAAGTTCAATCACTGGTACCAAACATAAAAGATGATATTAAGAAAATAGAATGGCATTAAGATGTGCAGTGTGTCTATATAAAACAATATAATAAATGTAAACATGAACTAAACAATGAATTGAAAACAATAAAAAACCTAGTAAAGGTAAGACAGGTAAAACTCTTTAGCAATAGTAAACAAGTTAAAAGACTTAGGAGTAAAATAAAATCAGAAATAAGAGTGTTCTGTATGGCAACATAGATATACAATTGAAACTACACAGAGAAGATTACCATGGCCAGTGCACAAGAATCACAGGTAAACTCATAAAGTGTTCCATATTTTTCCAAATCAAAGAGACCTTGGAGTAACATATTGCATGCCCTAAAAGAAAATAAGCTGCAACTAAAATTGATTAAACAGAAAAAAATTAACTTTCTAAGTCACTGGAGAAATAAGACACTTCCATGAGAAAGAATAAATGAATAAATTCATGATAAGGAAGCCAACTCTCTAAAATGCAATGAGACATTTTTACAAGGAGATGAGGGGGACCACAGATCAACCAATACCAAGAAATTAAAACAATTTTATAAAACTCATGAAAGAAAAGACTCAAATTCATACAGTTAAGAATGAAAAGCTGAAATCTCCAGTGGATTCTTCAGAATTCCAGAAAACCGTTAGTGGCAGCTTTGAGAAACCCTTACTTGAAATTGTACTATGAAGACATAGTGTCAATAAACTATGCTACTGGCAACAAAATGGACCTTAGGATCAGATCTGATTGGAAGATGTAAAAAGGACTCCAAAGGCACTCAGCACCTCACATTTCTGAAAGAGCTTGAAATATTGAGAGATACAAATTAAGATAATCCTGCCGGTCCACCTTACTCCAGAAAAAATGGCATCATCAAGAAATCAATAAAGAACAAATACTGGAGGAGACCTGGGGCAAAAGACACTTCTCCACCATTGGTAGGAGTGGATAGAGCTGCAAACACTAGCAAACTGATCTAGAGATTCCTCAAAACATACTAGGATTACAAGTCCAATTTACTCATCTGTTTTCTATTATGCTTCTGGGTATCAACCTGGAAGAAGTAAAAACTTTGTACACAGTGATGTATGCACATCCATGTTCATAACAGCTCAGTTTGTAATAGCTAATCCTTAGAAACAGCCCAAATGCAAAAGGTGTTAAATTTTAATACAATGAGTTTTTATTCATAAAGCAGGATAAAGTCCAGGTTGTTTTGGAGGAGATTTCTATTTTTTTTTTGCTTGTTTATTTCTTTGTTTGTTTTTGGCTAAATGGATGCAACTAGTGACTATACTCATAAGCTAAAAAATCAAGGTGGCATGTGTAGACATCATATGGTTTCCACAGTCTAAGAAATTGAAAAAGGAAATAAAATCCAACATCTAAAATAGATGTTCTGACAGCCAAAGGAACTGTTCAAAAGCAAATAACAACTGAGATGGGTGAATGAGAAAAGAAGGAAGAGAAAAGAAATAATACATACAAGTATAAAAGAGCTAAGATAGTAATTCCACTTACTTATTTTTATTCATTGAATAAAACCGTTTGTATTTATACTGTTTGATCTATTATGCATGCTGATATCTTGAAACTTATGCAAGTACTTTGAATATAACAATATGCAATATATTAACCCTTGCTAAGATTATTTTAGGTTGTACTGAAATATGTATCATTGTTAGTGTTGTTTTTTTCTTTTTGACTTAAAAAATAATACCCATTTACATGTCTAAAAATAGAATTATTGGTGCAAAATATTTCTAACAATGAATCTAAAAATGGATGATCAAATCAACAGAGCAAGACAATATCCAAAGACACAAGTGATTTTAATATTATAACCAGCAAAATATATATATATAGTCACTCCAACTGAGGCATCATACATGATAAAACAGAACATATATCAGAATGAATTTTACTAAGAAACACAAAGTAATTTGTTGTTTTTATATGGTACCAAAAATTTAAGCAATAAATTACATGTAGTTAAAGATTGATAATTTTTTTTTCATTTTGGAAAAATGATGCAAGCAAACATACATGATTTCTTTATGTCTCTCCTCTTGATTTTACACAGACATCACTATGATTAACAAGAGCAAAATCGAAAGTAATTTGAAGAAGCTAGCCCAGCCTGACAATATACAAAGTTTGAAGAGCAAGAATACTAACTCATTGGATGTTTCAGAAATTGTTATGATTATTAGGAGCAATGTCAAAACAATAAGCACTTAGCTATCTCTTTTTCATGAAAAATTAGTTTCAAATTACCATACAAAAATGACAGCATTTCTGGAAAAGAATAACTAGAAAAAGGGAAACCTGGAGTGTAGAATATGTTAACTGCATTTACACAGCCTACTTGAAAAACAAATCCTACTATTTACATAAAATTAATGTGCAGTAACCAAATATAAGAAAATCAAAAAGAACTACAAAATTTAAGTAGCATAAAATAAAGTCACCTGCAAAATTAATATATGATGAACTGTGTGAAGCCTCCACTTAGAGAGGATGTCACTAAACAGAATGATCATGACTCAGCATTGTAAATAAAACATGATCACCAACTTAAAATGGTAACAGAGTCTACATTCATACCACCATGAATGAGCTCATTCTATTCTGAAGTAGTCACAAATATAGAGTAGATGATGCACATTTAGACCAATAAGACATACAAGATACTAACAATACATACTTATGACATGTAGAGATTAAAATATTGGAAATTAAAATATTGAATGTAAATATTTGAACCACAAGTAAATATTGGTTGAGGTATTGGAACTCAAGAGAATATTATTAATAAAGTCAAAATGTTAGAGATATAACTTTTATACATGAAATCAAAAAATTTTGTGAATATTAACATTATATTACCAGGCCAATGTACATACAAGGAAATATGCTATTACTTAAACAAAATTCAATGAGAAAAATAACAGATTTTGAGACTACAACATGTATTGATAGTAAAAGAGTGAAAATAATAAATCATAGGAAAAGCAGAAGCACTATCAATAAAATTCAGAGAAGAATTTGTAGGAACACTAACAAGGGAAGAGATATGGGAAAGGTAAATCTGAAACACAGGTAACTCCACAAAAGCACAGATGGGGAAATGGGAATGTGGAAGATATCCTTGTATCTCTCTCTCACCCTAAGTGCTCAGTGTGTGGGATCTTCTCTCAGGGCAGCTGGCTTCCCTGGGTCAGTGAGTCTCCTGGAAAGAGTGCCTGTAAGCAGCTGTGGTTGTATCAGTGCTGGAATGAGAAGTTGCCTCCTCCCAATGGACATTAATTATCTCTTACCCTTTGTCTCAGTAACCTTGTTTACTGTTCCATTTTGATGCACCCAGGGGTGAAACAAAGTAACCCAGATGGAAATTACCCCAGATGTAAACTTAATCTTCTTTTGAATGTGTAACTGGGACAAAGTAAGTGTTCCAAGACTTGGTTTAATGACCTACATTTTCCCAAGTCGAATCAAATCAAAAAAGTAAACTTTAGCAATACCTACAAGAAAATGAAAATACAGACACAACTTACCGGAATCTCTGGGATGCAATGAAAGTCGTCCTCAGAGGAAAATTTACTGCACTGAGTTCCCACATCAGGAAAACAGAACGAATACAAATAAATAACATGATGCTACATCTCAAAGTGCTAGAAAAAGAAGAGCAAGTCAAGCCCAAAGCCAAAAGAAGGGAGGAAATTATAAAAATTAGAGCAGAAAGCAACGCAATACAGACGAAGAAAAAAATCCAAAGAATCAACAAATCAAAGAGGTGGTTCTTTGAAAGAATAAATAAAATTGATAAGCCCCTAGCGAACCTTATTTAAAAAGGGGAAGAAAAAGCTCAAATTCATGCAATAAGACATGAAAAAGGTGAAATCACTACAGACTCTACAGAAATACAGATCTGCTGAATATTAAAACAGAAACACTAAATCTATTGGAAGACAAATTAGGTAGAAACCTTGGAGACATAGGAGTAGGTAAAGAATTCATGAACAGGACTCAAACCGCACGGGAAATACTTCCCAGAATCAATAACTGGGACCACTTCTTATTAAAAAGTTTCTGCATGTCAAAAGAAATCTCCAGCATAGTGAAAAGAAAACCCACAAGCTGGGAAAAGATTTTAGTGAACTCTCTCTCAGACAAGGGACTCTTGTCTAAAACATATAAAGAATTAAAGAAACTCAGACCTCCAAAGTTCAAAGATCCAATCCAAAAATGGGCATCTGAGATGAATACGCAATTCTCAGATGAAGAAATGCAAATGGCAAATAAATACATGAAAAAATGCTCATCATCATTGGTCATTAGAGAAATGCAAATTAAAACCACACTGAGATACCATCTCACTCCTGAAAGAATGGCCAGGATCAAGAAAACCGACAACAAATGCTGGAGAGGCTGTGGGGAAAAAGGAACTCTCCTGCACTGCTGGTGGGAGTGTAGACTGGTACAGCCTTTGTGGAGATCTGTCTGGAGATTTCTCAAAAAGTTGGGACTGGAAATCCCATTTATTCCAGCTATTCCACTTCTAGGCATATTCCCAGAAGAACTGAAAGCATCATACCACAGTGATATATGTGCACCTATGTTTATAGCAGCACAATTTGTAATCGCCAGATCTTGGAAACAACCCAAGTGTCCATCAACTGAGGAATGGATAAAAAAGTTGTGGTATTTCTATACAATGGAGTATTATTCAGCTATAAAGAAGGATCACATTGAGATACTTATCAATAAATGGGCACAGCTTGAGACCATACTCATAAGTGAAATAAATCAATCTCGCATGTGTGAATACCGAATAGTTTCCCTAATGTAAGTAATGATTCAAATATATAAAAATATGTGGTAATCATGATTTCCCATTAGGTGGCCTTGGAGCCTTATAAAGTTTTCACTCATTAATTAGAAAGGCTTTATTCTGGGCTTCTTGATATGAAAATATTTGAAGCTAGAGTATATGAAGTTTTATCCAAATATTTCAAGGAAAAAGACACTATGGTAACTACTATTAAGTCAGGTTATATGGTGGTGAAGTACTAGGTTGTTGAAACAGTCATGCTGTGACCTCTATTGTTATATTGTTATGTCCTGTTTTATCTCAATCTCCCCCTTATTGTTTTAAAAAAATTATTTAGTCATTTCTTATGTTTGTCTTAATTAAAGAAAAAATTCAAAAAATTAGGATATATAAATAGTAACTCTTTTTGATTTCCTATTAACTTGTTTTGAAGTCCTGTAGTACTCCCACAATCTTGTTTTGACTGATTAGA